TGTACTGGAAGCTTGTGACACTATAACAAATTCCTTGTATGTGCAAACATACTTGGCAATAAAACTCTTTCTGATTCTGATTCTGATTCTTAATCTGTAAGTTTACACCCACAGCATCATCATTTTGATTTCACAGGCGACAACTTGTGTGTACCAGTTCTAATGCCATGGCGAAAGTTTGAGCAAAACATGCTAACTGTTCTGTTCAGCGCGATAAACATGATAATCAAAACAAAAACAGATGTTTTTAGCAGGTACCAGCTGTAATGACTCAGCTCTATTCTGGAAAAGGGGGAGGGGAGCAGCAGCTCATTTGCATTTAAAGAGACAGGCACGAAAAACAGCATGTTTCTGCATCCACTCAAAATAGGCATTTTCAAAATGATATAATAAATGATCTGTGGGGTATTTTGAGCTGAAACTTCACAGACACATTCTGGGGACACCAGAGACTTATATTACATATTGTAAAAAGGGGCATAATATGTCTCCTTTAAACGCCCTTTTGGGAAGGCATGTATCCCAGTCTGGGGACACCAGAGATTTATATTACATATTCTAAAAAGGGGCATAATATGTCTCCTTTAAGACATTTTAAGGCATTATGCTTCAATGAAAAACATATTACAATATGCTTTGTAAACATGAAAAATGACTACTACTTTGCAGTTCAGTGTTGTATGTCAGCTGGCAGCTTGGCTGTTCAGAGTGATCTTTCACCGTCTGAATGTTTGGCTCTGGTGCAAAAGCTCTGCAATATGTGTGTGTCCTTGTAAGGGCCCCAACTAGACAAGAATCAACAAGCTCAACTGAGAGCAGCGTCGGACATGAGGCATTTACTGGTAAATACACTGCTGTTCTTCTTTATTCTTGCATAGTCTGTTGCATAACAGCTGTAGATGTGTTTTCAGGAAGAATCTACTACTAAAATACTTGTGAAACAGGAACTAAGCCACACAACGATACTCTGACCACCGTACTGCAGACATTGCTTGGGAAAGCTGGTTATTACATGGTAGTCTTGTTTTTGATACGAAGAGATTGTTGTTGTTTTTAAGTTGTACTGTAAACACTGGTAATTTCAATGGTTTTAGAATGACTGACGGCCTTAAATGACCTCTAAAGAAAACACTCAACAGTCACCTGATACTGAAGCACATGCTTTATGAGCAAACAATTCAGTTCCAAACTTTTTGAATATGCAAACAAATCTGTTTTTAAAAATAATCAGAAATAATTTTAAGTACTCTACATGGAATCTAACAGATCATGCATGTAAACTTGTTGTCTTGAGTCTCTGCAATAAGTGTGTTCTGATATGAAATGGACACGTTTTTTTTTTTTAAATGGACACTGAAGAGGTCATGTCACCATTAGCCTCTCCACATTTAGCAAGCCTACATGCAGAAAAACACACACACGCTGGTGGACAGTGAAGTAAAAACGGGTGGGACGTTCTCAGTCCAACCCACCATTGTGTATTATGATCTGATTGGTTTGTTCCAGGTGCTGGTGAGCAGCAATTGGCTAAAACCACAACTCATTTCTGCTCCACGTGAGCTGGGTTGACCTTCAGAACCATAAAATGTTACATTCCTTTCACATGTTTCGTTTCTACTTAACTTACTTGAAATATAGCAAAGATATTCAAAATATTCAGGTGTGGAGTTGCTTAGTCTTCTCTTTGGGGTCTGAGAGTCCCAAAAGAAAAGCTCAAATATACAACCTAGGGTACTTAACACAGACTTAGGTTGATAATTCATGAATTTTCCTAATTTAATGAGGAAAAACACAACAAAACTGTCTTTAATGTAAAATGTCAATGGAAAAACTTGTAAAGCCATAGAATCGGTATGCGACAGATAGAACGCTGTTTCTAGCATGTTTTAGCACATCACTAGCATTTTTGCTGCTACCGTGTTTTAACATGATTCTAGCATGTTTTAGCATTTTGTTGGCATGTTTTAACATGTTGCTAGCATAATTTGACATGCTGCTACCATGTTTTAGGCTATCATTTCAGACATTGCTTACATATATTAGCATGGAACTAATGTGTTTTAGCACATTGTTCAACAATGTTTATGGGATTAATGTTTAATTGACATGACTGAAATATTACTGAATATGCTTCAATAACTCACATACTTAAAATGTAATGAAACTTTGGTTATTTCAGAGTGTTCCCCGGCTAGCCTCACGGGCTTTCAACACAACAGTCCGGCAAATGAAAAACAAGGTGCCCGACAGACAGAAGGTTTTCCTGGTAAGAAGAATTTCAGACTGACATGATGTCAAAAATACACAGTTTAGATGGCGTGTGCACTGTGCTCTGATTCACATTTGCACATTTCAGAGGTCAAGCAAAAAGCGCATGTACTGTAAAACACATTCAGTTAAAACTGATTCATCTATAGTCTGAAACTCTAGCCCTGAAATGTCTTCATCCAGTTATATACAACAGTCTGTGCATCTTTATAGTGCAAAGACATTTATGATTCTTTAGTAATCATTTACTCACCATCATGTCATTCCCAAAATACAATAATGTTTATTTTATTTACAACTTTAAAATTCAGTGTGAATGACTTTCTTTCCTCTGTGGAACATAAAAGAAGATATTTAAAAAAAAAAAAAAATGTTGGTAACCAAACAGTTTCAGTTCCCATTGACTTCCATTGTATGTAAAAAAATTAAATTAAAAAATAGAAAAGACAATAGAAACCAAAACTGTTTGGTTACAACATTATTCAAAATATCGTCTTAAAGATATAAATATCTTCTATATGGTAATGTAAAATAAATAAATAATTAATTATGAATGTATTACTTATTGTTAATAACTGTAAATATGTAAGACCTTTATAAGTTATTAATAATTTAGAATAAATAACACAATTATGTATTATAGAACTAATTAATCATTATAAATCAATCAATAAATAACTATATTAATTATTAATATTCATATTATTCTTTGTGTATCTAATGTGAAGAAACATTATATTTCTACCTGCAAAGATTACTTTCGCATAACAAAAAGGACTTTTCAATTAATACAACTATACAAATGTTATGTTGCATTGTGGCCGTACATTGCAAGAGTAACATCTCCTTTTATTTGCAACATTTATCCACACTTACAGGAGGATAACGGTCTGCCAGTCCACATTAAAGGAGGCTCCACTGATGCCCTTCTGTACCGTTTGACCATGACCATCACAATAGCAGGTACAAAACCCTTGTGGACAATCATGACAACTTGACATTTCTTTTTTATTTAGGTTTATAAAATGCACATACCAGTATTAAGAGAAGTCTTCTCTCTCTTTAGGCACTGGCTTTTCCTGTTACTGGTTGCTGGTGGCCTGTATGCCCAAGAGTAAAGCATAATAACTTGGATACTGCATGATGCTGTACAAATCTATTTCATTTTTTAAATATCCTAAACAATAAACCACATATATGAAAGAGGAATACATTAAATTCTACATCTACAACTTTTATACAGAAGTGTTTGGTCACTACAGTATACACTACTGTTCAAAAGTTTTTGAAAGAAAAGTATTTATGTACTTATAAGAAGTACTTATGCTCACCAACATTATCAGTATCTTTACTGTCACTTTTGATCAATTTAAAAGTATTAACCGCTTTAAAAATCGTTCCAACTTTTGAATGGTAGTGTATCACTGGCATGAATCAACAATACACACTTGGCGCCACCTAGTGGTTATAGCAAAACACAGCTTAAAATAAAAGGTTGTTCAGATGTATTCGAAAATTATTTGTGATCTAACTCAGTGTTTCCCAACCTTTTTTTAGTCGCGGCACCCTTTGGAAATTTTAACAAACTTGTGGCACCCTACAAAATTAATTTTGTCACAATATTTGAATTTCTAACTTCGATATGATAATTTGAAAAGTATAGATATTCAGTACAACAGGGAAGAACTGCAGAATATAATGTCATACAGATATTTTTAATATTAAAAATTGTCCATCAATGGTGGCAATCAGAAGGCTAATTTCTGATGAAGAGACCAATTTATATGACAGACTTTAATGTGGGCTCTTATTCATATGTAAACATTGTGAGATAGCTATAATGGTAATTAAACAAAGTGTTGCTCAGTCAGTGTATTTTTGATTTTACAGTGGGGTAATTTTGTTGCAGTAGCACGAGATAGCTTGATTTCAAACTTTGAATTGAATAAAAAATGACAAGAAAGCAGTCAGTAATAAAATAAGAACAAATAAACAAATTAATAATGATAGCACAAATAAAAAAAAAATCACGATAGGCCTACAAATGAAATAAATTGCTTTTTAGTTTTTCAGGTAGGGTTAAGATATTTAACTTTTTTTTTTTTTACCAATTATCCAAATAATGTTTAATCCTAGAAAGCTATTATTATCAGAACACGCGAGCATAACATAGCGGTTAGCAGATCAATGAACGAGAGGGCAGCCTTACCAGAGTTGCCCATATACCACACCATGTTACAACACAGTAGGGCTATTGCAGACAGAAACAATACTGAACTACATCGATGTTTCCTGTCGGCTCAATGTTTGAGTGGACTTTGCTGTTCCGATGAGCATGAACGATATGAGTGGAGCTGAGCGGAGCGCACACGCATA